TACCTGACACGGCCAAGCCTGTCGCTGCTGAGGCGAGCTGACACCATTCGTGCAAACAGCCAAGATCAGTTGAATGCACGGGCCATGAGTGATCAAGAAATGAAAACGATGCCCCAACATTCAGAGTACACGTGCTTCGTTGTTCTAAAAACAAGCAGCTGGCCGGCGAATGGAACAGAACAAACACGCTGTCCTGAAGTCACTGGCCCCAAGCAGACAGCCGGAAAGACAGCTCTCGTTTACCTTGTACATCTCCTTTCCGAACAGGTGATCCCACACTTTCCTCTGGACATCCCAATTTACCAAGTAGCCCTGGAAAACAAAGTGACTTTCATTTTCAGAACAACCAAGAACACATTCAAAAGTAAATCATAAATTACACAACCACTGTAAAATAATCTCATCAGTAGTCGCATTTAGTCCAGCGCTTGCAATCACATCTTTGCTCTTCCAACTTATATTAAACTTAAAGGTACAGTGTATACAAGGGATGCTTTAGCTAAAAACTGGCAGAAACAATATTAAAAGCTTAAATAAAGGCTGAGGCGGAGCCCACCTTCTGGAAAGGCAGGATGTAGAAGAGTCCCGACGGATCTTTTATTTCGTCGATCTGGTTGGCGGTGAACGTCTTCAGCCTCGCAGTTTTGGAGCGGAACTGACAGTTGGGGATCACGCTGGGGGAAACACAACGAACAGGCAGGAGGTAAAAGCTTCAGACTCGCGAACCGAGAAGGGCCAACACTGACGGTTCAGCCCATAACAGATCTCACAGACTACCAAAAGGGCCCATCAGCACTGCCTCGAATGTGAGCAACAACAAAACGTGATAAATGCGAAACGCCGTCACTCACAAGATCACCCCCGCGTGTACTGAAATTTAAAAGCACAACAACGGAACCTCGTTAAGGCTCAGTGAAATAAGCTTGTGTTCCCCACTCTGTGTAACTGTGGTCTTATCCTCTGCAGGGAAGCCGAATAACTGATGAACCTGACATGACTTCATTTTACTGTAACCAAGGAGAGCAGCATTTGTCGTTAACAAAACGCCCGAGCAGAAAGCCCACGATATATACAAGAACCCAAGCAAGGTGTCGTAAATTAAACCAACCTGACATTCTCATGGCTGTAACCAATTTTTGCGGTATAAGCCCCATTATCAAGTACCAAAGTCGTCATTATTACAATAGCTGCCCGACTCGAAAGCGTTGATTTTTGTCTGAGAAAGTGTCCTCACTACAGCGCCGCTCCGCAGATTCAATCAATCGCATTTCAGGCTGCTGTCCGCCCGATAAAAGGGGCCGTGTTGGAATCAAGCGCTTCACTTTGGTTCCACCTCGGGCAAGTGTTTTTGAAAAACAGCCACAGATATTACAGTGTCGATTTCAAACCTTTCAAACCAAAGTAAAATAAAATGCTTTTCGTTAGTTCAGAACTGTTATTTATATATTCTGAAGCAGTGCGAGTAGGGAGCTGCGTCAGCATGCGTAGGCTGCAAAGGAACAAGTAAAGGTTTGTTCCCTGCTGAAAAGAGAAGAAAAGAAACACAACGTTTCACACACCTGAAGAAGGCTCCACAGCCAAAACGTTGTGTTTCTTTTCTTCTCTCTTCAGCATGGAATACACTTTTAGTTGTTCATTTATATATTCTTTTTTTTTTAACTGAATGAGGACAGAGTTCCATGCCTGCAGTACCTTCTTATGGCCGCTAGGTGCCACAGTTCAGCTCCCGTTTTAACTTCAATGAAGTCATAAGATAAGATTACTTTATTGGCTTGCTCTCCATGAGACACACAGACAGAGAGAAGCTTGGGGTCAGAGATTGTACGGCGCCCCTAGAGAAGTTGGGGTTAAGAGCAACTTAACCCCAACTATGGTATCATAGCTCCCTAACTATGATATCAGGCCACCACTTGTTAAGGCTGTTTTGCACAAAACTCTTACATTGGAGAAAAATAAGGTAAATAATAAGGGGAAATTTAACTAAAGTTGCATTACATGACATCTTCACAAGTCTAGACAAAGCACGAATCCAAAAGCAGCTAACAAAGA